AGCAATTAACCAGTTGGTCCTTGGAATCCACATGGTAGGAGGAAAGAACTGATTCCCACAAGTTGTTCTTAGACTGCTATGGTGCACGTGTGCCCACAAACACATACACGCACATACAAATGCATGCATAAATTCAATAAAAATTTTAAGAAATAAGGAAAAAAAAAACAGTAGTACCCAACTCCAACACCTGTGAACCATGACAATTACCAGAATGTCAAGATATGCATAAAGGTACAATAAGCGACACTCAGATGTCCTTGTACAGGTTTTGTTTTGTGTTTATTTTGGGGGAACTGAGGTTGGACCTAGGACCTCATACATGCTAAACAGGCACTCTACCACTGGGCTATATGCCCCTCATGTGTAGATTCTAAATAGAATTGTTTAATAAAAGGAGATAGGGCTTTTTAGAAAAAAAAATGGAAATTGGTGGCTGGTCTTAGGACTAGCATAGGTGGAATACAAGATAAATCTAGACTGTCCTGTTATGTCCAAATCAAATTCATAGTGTCATAGTAATAAGTCTCAAAAGACAATTCACTACCACTGGCCAAAATCAGCTAATGTCTATGTCAAGGAAAAATTAGAGTGGATTGAAATATACCACATTAAAATATATGTTTAAGTCTATCACTTTAATGATAATATTTAAGATTTCCCCTTACTTTCAGCTTTAGAGAATGCTGAGGAACCTTCTTGTTATTTTGGAAGCTGACATACAGAGGGAAGGAATCAAATAATTATCTTGTCTGATATGGATTGAAATTCAAAGTAATCAAATAGGTGAAAAGAAATTTCTCTTTATAGCAGTCATCTACTTAACCAACTGGGAAGAGTGGTAAAATATAATTATCACAAATGAATAAATCTGGAAAATATGATCAGCAAAGAAAACCTTATTAGAAGAAGGTGGAGCACATATCAAATCATTTCTGATGTAGGCACACCTTGCAGTTCATGAAGGGGTCTTTCCTGCGTGAAGCCCATCTCCAGGAAATAACTGACTTTGTAGTGGCTACAGGACAAATAGCACTGCTTAACACAGCAAGAAAAACCCAGGCTAAGAGTAACTCTAAGACAAATCATCGGCTGTACTTATTTATTTTTTAAAAAATCCTTTTTCTTTCCGTTTGTCTGTGTCTGCATCTAGGTGTCTCTGTGTCTCTGTGTCTCCCCTCTCCTTGTCCCCCTTCTCCCTTGTGTGTATACATAGGAATGTTGTGAGGGAAGTTCAGGATAATTAGGCAAAGTCGGGTGTCCTTTCTCCACTTTTGCATGTGTTTTCATCTTCAGCTTTAAGTGAAAGTATTTGACTTGCTGAGCCATCTCACCAGACCTTATTTTTACATTTTAAGGAACAATGTAGAAGGGGTAGGGAGAAACATTGAGAAACCAAGAGAGATGTGGGTAGCACTAGCATTTTCTAGGGCAAATTCAGGTATAAACAAACACCAAGTCCTTCTGAATCCACAGTCCTTGTTATTTTATTCCCTGTGTGCTACAGTATTTAAGATGTATTTTGCTAAAGAAGCCTACAAAGCAGGAGAATTAGGAGTCAATGATAGAAAACACCATTTGCTCCCTGTCTCCCAGCAATAGATTATACCTAAGCAGATTGCATGCAGTGGAGGCTTAATGCATGCTTATTGAATTAAATCATAACTATAGAGGGAAAACATACAGATAAAGATAACTTGAACTTGTATGGAGGTGAACTTTTGGAATAGGAATCAAAGTCTTTAATTTTAGGTGAGTTACAGAAGAACTCACAAGTTTTAGGCTGAATGTAAATGGGAGTTGAGGTAGCAGGAAATATAATCATGCTTAAAAATACTTGAGATCATTTATTTTAATTTATTCTTCTCTCATGTATTACATCCCAACCACAGTTTCCCCTCCCTCTTCTCCTTCCAGCCACAGTTTCCCCTCCCTCTTCTCCTCCCCACACCTCCACTCTCTTCCAGATCCACTAGACCTGGGTTCCCCTTCAGAAAAGGACAGGCCTCTCAGGGATATCAACCAAACATGGCCTAATAAGATTCAATAAGATACAATACATATTAAGGCTACATGAAGCAACCCAGTAGGAGAAAAAGGGTCCCAAGCACAGGAAAAAGAGTCAAAGACACCCCTAATCCCATTGTTGGAAGTCCCACTAGACCACCAAGCTACATAAAGTAAGGTTCATGCAGAGAACCTAGCTCAGACCCATACAGTGTCTGTGTTTGTTGCTTCAGTTTCTTTGGCCCTTATGAGCTCAGGTTAGTTGATTCTGTGGGTTTCCTTGTGATGTCCTGGGCCCCTCTGGCTCCAAAAATTGATATCATTTTTGATAAAATTGAGGTCATTTTTTGAATCCCCAAATGTCACTCAAGAATGTGTAATAATTTAAGTAATGTAATTGTTTCTTTCTCGTCTCACTCTCCTAATCTAGACCAAGAATTTGAAGGGGAGGGGAAGGTCTGCATGGTAATGCCAGCTTGGTAATGCACCACATGTGTCTGTGACTCTTGAGGATGCACTGAGATTCATGGATATATTCTTTGTGTTGACTGAAGGATGCCATTGTAGTGCCAACAGGTGAAGATTGTAACTGATGATATTCTAGAATCTTCTTTTGGCTTAGGTAAACCATGAAGATATGATGGTTTCTCTTTCTCTCTTTAAATTTTTTTTCCATAATTCTTTGACAATATCATCCAGGATATTTTGATTGTATTCACAATCCTAGGCACATGGCCATCAATTGGAACATACCCTACCAATGATCACAACTTTAACGAAACCGGACTCTCCCAGTGGTTATAGATTATCACTAGTTCCTTAGCTAGAGGTAGACTTCATGTCTACCTCCCTGCTCCATGCTGAGATTTCTGTCTGGCTTGGTGTTGCTTATGTCCTGTGCATGCTCTCACAACCACAACTGAGTTCATATATGCAAATATTGTATTGAGAAAATACTGTTTCATGGTAGTCATCTACAGCCTCTGGCTCTTACAGTTTTTCAGCCCCCTCTTCTGTGATGATCCTTGAGCCAAGGAAGGAGGAGATGTAATAATGATGTCCAATTTCAGACTGAAAATTCCTCATTCTCTTACTCTCTGCATCTTGACCAGTTGCGGATTTCTGTGTTAATTGTCATCTACTATAAATGAGGGTTGAGAGATGGATGAATTAATCTATGGATATAACAATAAGTCCCTAGGAGTGAGTTTAATACTATGTCCATTTAACAGAATAGTAGTAGTAGGATGTCTTCTAAGATTTCTGAGCCATCTAGCCACAGGTTCTTAGCTCCATTAGTAGTGCAAACTATGAGTTCCATCGTGTGGAGCAAGTCTTAAATACAATCAGAAAGTGATGTGACATCCATGCCATGATTACACCATTGGGCATGTCTTGCCAGGCCAGTAGTTCATTCAAGGTTCATGGCTGGATAATATTGATGATTACTTTTCCCCTTTGATTGTATGTGTACTAAGAGCAGTATGAAATTTAGCCAGTAAAGATGAAGTTTCCAGGCTCATACCAGCTTGATTTCTCCATATTCTGTGACACACAAATGGAGGAATTCAGTGTCTTCAGCGATAGGTTTTACCATAAAGTTCTGGAAGGTAACCAAGAGCAATGGCAGTAGCCTATAATGTGTATGTGGGGGTCAGGGGGAGCAGTCTATAGGACCCACTGACCTGTAAGTCCAAAGAAGTAAACTGTTCCTGGCACTGGGCTTTTTATTGCTGGTGATAACTTATAGGGGCATTGTCATCCCTTTATAAGGTAATTCTATTTAAGTTCTTTTTATATGTATATATTTCAGGAAACTTCTACAATAAGTAGGTTTCTATATGAATTTCCAGAAAAGGCTTTATTATTATTGTTCTTGTGAGTATATATCCTGCTTTCTGGCTCTGTCATCCACCCAGCTGCTGTCTTAGACCTCTCTTTCTTCTGGTACTTTCAACTTTATAAGCATCATAGAAGTTGCATGTACAAGTGTGGAGGCCATCAAATCTTGAAAATTGTCTACCACTAATGACACAGAAATATTAAGTTTCATTTTATGGCAATGGCTGCAAATCGACTCTCAGATAACATCTCAAGTCTACGTTAAGTCTATGTACTGTGTTTTCATGTCAGTTACAGTACCCCATTTGGTACAGAGTCTCAGTCACCACCTCTACAAAATAGACTGCAAATTTCTTTAGGTTATGCCAGTAATTAGTAAGATGTTTATGTATGAGAAAACCTCTTGGCATTTAAAGAGCAATAATAATAATTATTATTATTTATATTTTCTCTGTATAAATGTATGTTTTAGGCCTTCTGACTTTTAGTATGTCTAACCTAAAGCGTGGGAGAAAATAGGAATTTAGTAAATATTGTATTAGTTAATGAAATCAACTTGGAGAGGGGTCATTATATGGCACCAAAATAACAAGGAAAAACAAACAAACCTTAACCAATGTCTGAATTTGGCTCTTGCTATTGCAGAAAATACATAGGCTTAGTTTTTCAAAACGTACAAACATCTATATCTCCAAGGATATTCTTTAAATGATAGAATTTCTTCTATAATTTAAATATAGGATATTAATAAAGAAACTAGATCATGTTTCTGAATATGCTTGCAACAAGGTATTTGCTGACCAGATGTCTCTGATTTACATTCAAAAGACACTGGGCTTTTGTATTTTTGTGCATTGTACTGGATCTGCATTTGGTAACTCCAAATTTACATTGCAATTACTTTAAAAGCGCACACATTAGGATACAATGAACTCCAACTTGGCAGTCGGTGAAGTGCCCCAGCTCCCCTGCTTTCCTCTTCTAATCACAGAAGAAAGCATTTCACAGTTCACAGACTAACTCTATCCTTTTGTTATACAACTGCTTCCTTGGCTTTAGCTACCTGGCAGTTCCAAACAATTGAGCAGCTGCCATCTAGTGGCGAAGATCTGTCATGGCGTTAAGGAAACAGAACAGTGAGAACAATGATATTACTCCTGGAGGAAGGAATTTACTAAAGACATTAACACGTTTCACGACAGTGAAGCCATTTCACACTAAACTATAGGCAGAGATGTAGATAAATGGTCTCACGTTTTTAATTCTTTTGTATTAAAATGTAAAAAAAAAATATCAAAATCACAATGAGATGACGCTACAGACACGTAGAATGATTCAAGGAAAAGGACAAAAGGTGACAATATCAAATGTTGATGAAGATTATTTGCACACATTGTTGTTGGGAGGCAGAATGGTTCAATCACTCTGGAAGACAGAGGACAGCTTCATATAAAGTTAGACACACACGTACTAGAAACCCACAGTCACATCTCTACACATTTGTTCCTAAAAGACTGAAACCAAATATTTATGTAACATCTGCGCACACATATCTATAGAAGCTTTGTCTGTAAAATCAATAACTGGAAGGACACCAAAAGTCCACCGAGTAATTAATGGATAAATGATGATCCGTCTCCCCAATGGAATACTTCAATCCAACCTAAACAAATGAATTATTGAAACACATAACAACATAGATGACTCTCAAATGAGTTGCTGAGAGAAACCAGACTACATAGGCTATAATTCCACTCATAGAACATTCTGTAAACAAGAAACCCTAAAAACAGCAATCAGCTTGGTGATTATCAATGAGGGAGGCATCAGACAAGGGGAGGAATCACAGATAGGAGGAAACTTCTGGTATAAAGGACCTGATCTTTATCTTCTTTGCTGATGGTTCCCATGATGATATGAGTTTAAAAGTTTGTCAAAAGCCTTATGATTTTATACTTTGTAAATATGACAATAAATAAATAAATCAAAAGGGATAATAAAATACTTCAAAAACAGTGGTCTAGAGATCGTTGAAGTTTTGATTACCAATCACTGAAGAACACTAGAAGGGCAGTCAGTTATCCTGTGTCACAGTTGCATGAGACAAATGGAAGGAGATTCAGACAGATAGAATGTAAGACTTTGCACATGTACCCACAAGAAGTCTGGGAAAAATGGTTTTCAAAACTTTCACTGCTTAAGGTTTTGCCCTCAAGTTTATAGGTATATTCTAGTTTTTAACTCTGAGTTCTTCTTACTGCTTATGTAACAGTAACCTGTTGGTCACTTTGTTAGATGACACACATATTCCAATTAATAACATTTAATTATTATTTTTTATTTTTTTAAAATATTCCTATAACTGCAAAGCCCTGTGAGGAGGTCAAGTAGTTATCTCTATTTTAAAAATCCTCTACTATCATAGAATTTACACCATTTAAACAGTCTATTTTTTATTCTGGAGTGACATTATATAATAACTAATCATGTACATTTATGAAAAATTAACTTTATTGTTACCTTGATATTTATTAGATTTTGTAGAATTAAACATCTCATGTTATATTGTCAGTACTTTTAAATACCCTAAAAATACAGCAAGAAAGTTGTAAGCTATAGAATAATAGGATAGCCCAAACCATAGAAGCCAGAAATGGGCAATAGTGATGTCTTTGGTTGAGAGGAAGGTGGGGAGGGTTCTCTCTTGTTCTCTCTCTCTCTCTCTCTCTCTCTCTCTCTCTCTCTCTCTCTCTCTCTCTCTCTCTCTTTCTCGCTCTCTGTCTCTCTCTGTCTCTGTCTCTCTCTCTGTCTCTGTCTCTCTCTGTCTCTGTCTCTCTCTCTGTCTCTGTCTCTCTCTGTCTCTCTCTCTCTCTCTCTGTCTCTCTCTCTCTCTCTCTCTCTCTCTCTCTCTCTCTCTCTCTCTCTCTCTCTGTACACATGTACCACAAAAATGATTAGCACAAAAAGAATTTACACTTTTAATTTATAGATGTACAAGGTTGGTTAATTTGCCAAGGATAACTTCGTTGAGAAGCGTCAAGATTTAATACTTAAAATTATTCCCAATATTTTGCTCACACTATTATTTTAGCATCCTTTTAGTAATCCAGATGCAAGAATGCCCTGCACTGAATTGCCCTTGACAATACATGTAGTAGATTGCTATTCCTAGAATAACTTGTGATACCTATCATTTTCAAACATCTGAATTTTGTATATATGGTATCTGATAAGTTCTTTTACTCCCTTCAAGTTTCCTAAAGACATCAATAATCCTATTATATAGTTTAATTGAAAAAATTGGTAGTAGTTTTAGGGAAGGCAAGAATTTCATCAATTTTGATTCTAGTTAAATGGGAAGTGAGGATTTTTACCATTTTCATTCAGAGCACTTTAAAGTTCCCCATGTTTGAAACATGTACAATGTGGCAATCGCTTTTTTTTTTTTCATTTTACTTCACACCATGATCTATTGTATTCGTGTAACTCCACTGTATAGATGAGAAAAGTTAGAGGTTTGACTATATGAGATACCATGCTCTCATACACAGAACTAATAAGTCACATGATAACTCTTATTTCTGGGTCTGCCCTGACTCCAATAGTATTTTCTGTGTCTAATTTAAATTTTTTATGATAGTAATCTGCTTTCCATTTAATAATAGACTTTTTATGGTTAGCCATATTCCATATTCCAACTTAATATATATTAATACAAAGTTTCATGTATGATAAAGATTAATCTATGAAAAGTGTCTACCATGTAAAATATCTTTATTACATATTATAACATTTTGTTTATAATTCACATGAGATTTGATAGCTATTTTAAGAAGAAAATGATTAGAAAATGATTTAATAATTTTGCCACAGCTACCTCACCAAGGTCATGCTGGAGCTGAGATTCAAATCTAGATCTTTGCAGTTTCAAAGTCTTCACTTTACATGGTAGATGCTCATAGTTTTTGGGATCCAATAGATCTACTTTGAATCTCAGTTGCCCTGAAAAGTTAATTACAATTACTGTTTCCTTTCACGTTTTTATATCAGTATTAATGAAGGTATCTCATTTCTTATTACACTAGATTGTAAGAATTGTGTAGATACAGATTATTTTTCTTGAACTTTCTTTTTTTTTCCATTTCCCTTACTCAATACTTAACTAACTTTTTAGAAAGGGCTTACAGTATAGGGATTCCTAAAGTGATTGAATAAAATTAAACTATTGAATTATTGAATAATTTAAAACTGGATGGAAGGTAGCTTTGTCTGGCAAGTTAGTTAGTTTGTCCATCTATCTATTTATTTGGCAGTCATTTGCAAATGACTTACTGTGTTCTCCATTCTATGCCAAGTGCTGAGCTGTGGGTACACAACAATATGGTTTATTCAAGGAACATCCATTTTAATTGATTAATGCCTGTACCAGACCAGTTGCTAACTCTTTTGACTCTTGCACCTGACCAAGTTCTTGGCATATGATGATGGAGAAAAGAAACAGAAGCAATCATGATACTCATGAAAATTTTAAATAAATGGAAAATTTCTACTGTGATAGGAAGAAAGATACAATCTACTATGCAGTGGATTATTTCAACTTTCTCTGATCTAATCTAGAAGGAATAACACCTGTGATTAAAAAAAAAAACAGAAGAGGATAACACGATCAATTTCATCATTATACAAAAATCACTTTTCACCTTTCAAGGTTAAAATGACACTGCTATTTTATGGGGAAAAAGATGCTCTACAAATGGTACTGGTCAACTATGCATCTCCACAGCATCCTTCCATTCTGTGATAGATGTGCCAGTGGTAAGTTGGGTAATGTTCAAGACCCCTATAGAGGGAACATTGAATTTCATTCATGTTGAAGGGCATTGATAGTGTTATGGGAATATTTGTAAATGTCCTTTAAAATGTGTTCAGATTACTTTACAATAAATACAATTATCTGGGTCTAAGGGTACAGAATAAAAGGCATCAAGGAAAAAAGGAATGCTTGAAAGAATAGAAAAAAAAAACTTACTTCACTATGAGAGAAGGCAGAACATGGTAGATCTCTTTTTCCAAAGAAAAATATCTTGACTGCTGTAAGAATGTAGCCCTAAATCAGCATTGATCGACCTACAAGACTAACCACCTTACATGAGTTATTTATATTTCTTTTTTGTTTGTTTGTTTGGTAGAAGGATAAAAAATGAAAAGGATATATGTTTAAAAATTAGCTGAGTATAATAAAGTACTTTTCATGCTTTACTGATGATGACTTCAAGACATAAACACATACACATCTTCTTGCTCAAATATAATTATTTTCCTCATAGAACTTTAAAAAACCAAACATGTTCTATAGTTACAGTGTTTTTCAGTGGACTTTACAATTCCTGTATGATAGGACATGCCCTGGGCTTTTGAAAATGCACTGATTAAATTGTGTTCTCAAGATGTAGTCTAGAGGGCAGGTGATCTTGCATGACCTACTGCAAATAGAAAATGTCACTGTGTTGGTACATTTCCGCTACACTTTAATCTGCTAAAGCAAGAAAAGACAGACGTTTGTAGGGAGAAGTTAGAGTCAAATTAGTAAGAGAAAGTCAGTTCTACATGCATCACTGAATACTTTCAAGCATAAAGTGTCTTAGACATCACAGAGTCTCTAAAGACTCAACAGTGGATCTTGTTGCTCATTTAGGAATTTACAGGTGTTTAATGCAAATCCAGTTTTAATTAAATCTTGAGAAAACACATAATAAGTTCAAAGCACTTTATATTTTTAAGAAGGAAGGAATCACTCCATGACATTGCATGGGCAGATATAGTCACCTTCTCATCCCCCTATTCAAGCTCTTTTATGTACCCAGCACACAATAGATGAAGTCCCAGTTGCCTGCCAGCACACGTGGGACTTTCATGAACGGACCCAGCTTATTTTTCCTCTGCAGGCTTTGTACACCAATGAAAATAGACTGCTGACAGCAGCATCTTCTCCCTTCCATCTGTCTATCACTGCCTGAAGTACAAACGAAGTATAATAGCTGGCATGTAGCCAGAGGCCCAGCCCTGTGACTTACTACGTTTATAAATAACCATATCCAGTGCTATCATGCCTTCAGGCCTTTATGTGTGCCACTCAGTTCATGTGAACAAAATTGCTGGGTCTGTTTGGCATCTGTGAACTCACCATTTAAAACTTACCTTCTCTGATATTGGCGCTTATTTTCCTTGCTAAGATTGGGATGGTAAAAATATCTATCTACTAAGACAGAATTGTGAGAATTAAAGTGGTTGAAAGTAAAGTGTTAAAAGGAAATTAATATTGTGCATACAACGAGGGGCATAAAATGTGTGGCATATGCATGCTAACTTTCATAATTGAGTACCAGGAAATACTGACCAGAACAATTACTGAAGTGTGTGAATGGAAGAAAGCCATTGGAGAGTTTTCACACAAACAGAAATATTTCACATGGAAGAATAAGTAGGTTTTGACAAATAGAGTGTAAAGAAACTAGGGAAAAGAAAGTTGTTATCCAAGAAAGGCAGGAGTTGGGTTGGGTTTAATCATAGGACATCAATCTTCCTCCCACCCCCTACATATCGTCAGCAGAAAGCCAAGTGCTTGAAAATGTTTTGGAAAGCATCATTCCTGTGAGTTTAATTCCTTTCTCTTTTACTGCCTCTCAATACCACCTGTGGGAGCCAGTAAAATGATGAGATGAAAAGAAATTGCAGGCCTGTGATCACAATACTTAGAGGTAGAAGGAGATTTGCCACAGAAGGTCATCTGTGTCTACACAGAGGGTTAAATCCAGCCTGGGCTACAGGAGATCCCATCTCAAGTGCAGCTCCCCCTGCAAGCAAAATAGATAGAATTTTCAGGTTTGTACTGTCAATTGGAAAGGACAGAAGCTGCAAACTGTAGGCAGACTCCCTATGCCTTATAAGGAAGGAAAATTGTATAATGACTGCATCAAAATCAATATCTGTAGTAGAATAATAAAGAACATAATATAAATCTTCCCTGGGCCCAGACTACCACTCCCCTCACCCCATGGGGCCTACACAAGATTTTAGAGGAAGTAATTATACAAATATAGCTCACAAAGTATATGTGAAGTAGATTTTCTCAATTAAGTAGTATTCATAAAATGACTTCCAATGTAAAATTGACAACATTTAAAACAGTCACCTTGAAAATCTTGAATTCAGTGGAATAATTCCTATATCTGGGACACTTACTGGAAGACTTACCTGGGCCCCTTTTCCTCAGGGACATATGAGCTGAGAAGTGTGGGTGAGCAAACAGATAGTATTTCCTGTCCCAACATGGGAAGGTGTGAAAACGGTGTCGTGCAGGTGATGCTGAAGGCATCCCAGAGCTGTATTAAGTCCAAATCATGCTGTCAGTGGGAGGAGCAGGCCAGAATGGGATCATGGCAATGTAGGTCTAATCTGAATGAGGGTAAAAGATGAAGAAAACAAGACCAGAAATGAGAAGCCAGCTGCAGGTACAAAGAAGCTGATTTAACATTAGAGATAGAACAGGACCACCAATGGAGGGTTAGCACGAAGAAGCCCAGCTTTGTTAGGGTAAAGAATGAAACACTGGCTTTATCTCTAAGAATCTCCAACTCATGCAGAGGAAACAGTTGTAATACTGGGTGTGGCTGTTAAATTCTCTCTATTTTCAAAATGCTATGGAGCTTCCGTGTTAGAGCAGGCAGTTTGATGGTATGAGAATGCAGTATTAAATAGACAAAGCCCATGTCTTCAAGATTGCATGTGGGAATTAGTAAACCAATGGGATAGGACCAAATTATGAATGGTAAGAATATTGATAAGAGCCAATGGCATATATATGAACTTTGGTTAGAGAAAATGAGTGATAAGATATTTTCATCAAATTAAACTCCTTATTTTTCTTAGGGGACAACCTATGTATCATAAACTTGGGTTAGATTTCTCCCCATCTGCTATCACAGAACTCCGTTCTCCCATCATAATTCGGAATGCTCTATCACAACTGGCCACTCAGATTTCCTGCTATAAATGCCTATCTTAAAGAGATAATCTCATATTTCTCATGCCTACCTAATGCTCCCGTTGGCACCTAGAAATGAGATAAAGACTTGTCAAATGAGTAGATAAATGACTAAGCAAAGCAACACAGGGTCTCCTTAGGGAATTTCTCTTCACGTTTATTGGCACTGCTTTGGAAAAAGCATCGGAGAAAGAGAAGGAGAAATCGAGGCTAGCCAGATGGTTTAGTGATAAAAGTACTGGTCACCAAGCCTGGGCTAAGTTTGATACTCAGGATCCACATGATGGAAGAAGGAGAGGACTGACCGCCTCAAGTTGTCCTCTGATCTCCACACATGCACCTTGATACTCAGGGACACACACATACACTGAGTAAATAAAATTTAATAATTTTAATTAGAAAAAAATTATTGTACCCCTATACTTATTTTAGAAAAAAAAACCAACAAACCTGGTGTGTGTGTGTGTGTGTGTGTGTGTGTGTGTGTGTGTGTGTGTGTGTGTGCAGCATTACGTATACAGGTGCATGTGCTCTAGTGTTTACCTGAAAAGGATCTTGCATGTTACTATATTATTTCTGTGAGAGAGGGTCTCTCACTGAATCCAGAGCTCACCATTTTGGGGCTAGGCTGGCCGGTCAGAGAGCTCCGTGGTCTTGCTCTTTCCATCTGCTTTGCTCCCCACTTACTCTCCCACCTCCCCACACTTTCACATTCACGCATCTGTTTAGGGGGAAAAAACTGCATTGCTTCAATTCCAGAATCCCAAGGGAGAATCTGATTGTCCATCTTGGTTTAGGCATAGACTGGTTTGTATTATAAGCAGACCCAAGAGGACTTGCATACAAACAAGTCTTGGGAGAGGTACAAGAAACAACAGGCAGGACAGGAACCAATAGAACAGAGAAGAAAAGACAGCTAATGGAGGAAAGCTAGTACTTCCTGTGGTTAACCAAGAAACTAACAACCTTCATCAGGACACACATCCCCAAATGAACCCACCCTAGAGGAAAGGACATCAACTGCTGTCAGTCATTTGTTGATGGTTCTTGTTTGGAGTGATAGCCCTCTGGCACTGCAGGCGTGTGGTGGACTTCTAACTATCCTTTTCCTCAGCTTTGGAAAGGTCCCTAGGCAAAGAGGTGCTGACACTGGCAATTACAAGTAGGTGATGATGCCTATCTGCTTTCCCTGACTACATTATGTGTCCACCAGTCTCCAACAGCCAACTGAGAGAGAATTGCCCCCGCTCCCTGTATTAAGCAGGAAATTCTAGTTTGTCTAGCAAATGCTTAACTCTGTTACCTTCTTTCCTGTTGCTGTGAGCAAACACCCTGAACTAATCAACTTAGAGGAAAAGGGGTATTATTTGGCTCACAGAAGTTACAGTCCCTCATGGTGGAGAATTCACAGTGGCAGGATCTTGAAGAATCTAATTACATTGTACATGAGTCCAGAAGCAGACGGCGGTGAATGCTTGTATTCAGCTAACTCCATCTTTTTTATACCTTCTAAGACCCAAGTACAGGGTATAGTGCCACCTACCTTTAGTGTGAATTTTTATACCTTAATAAATGGGATCAACATGATCCCTCACAGGAACACCACCAAAGACTAAATAATCCCTCACAGATGTGGCTGGTGGTGTGGCCTGTCTCCTAGGTTACTGCAGATCCTGTCAAACTGACAGTTAACATTAATCATCTGTCTCAAACAGCATATTGAGGGTAATACCTTCAACAGTGGGTATAGGACTAAAGAGGATAAAAAGTTACCTTTGTAACTTAGTGACACATAGTGTCTCAGAAGAGGCAGTTAGGAAATCATTTAAATATAAAAAGAGGCTTGTGATAGACATATGTACAAAGTGCTGTGGGGATATTGTTAACTCACTAAGAGAATGCTAAAAAGGGGTGCAGATTGTCACCTCCTAATTGGAAGCAGATTAAAGAGCTGCAGTCTCAGAAACACCTGTTTCCTGGTGTGTTTGTTGTTATTTTCCTCTCCTAAGGAGAAGCAAACTTTGTACTCTTTGTAAACATGTATCATTTGCCAGTGGAGTCAGTTTACTAAACAGTTTATGGAGACGTTTTCTGTCTATCTTTTCCACTGAGTCTTCAAAAGGGCAGAGGACCCAGCAAGTCCATTAGAAGATGCAAGAGTTGAAACTGAATCTATCACAATTATGAGTCAGTTTACATATCATCCTTGAACAGACATTATTCATTTATTTATAAACTCATTCCCTAGAGCATAAAACCCTAGGTACAGGAAAGCGAAAGATACTGTGAATACAGATATTGACTAGTTAGATGGCTGTTGATTTAAATCCCCAGGGAAAGGAGAAACTTATGTGAGAGGCCCAGGATACCAAACTGAAGCATGTTTTGTAAAAGATTGCATTAAAGGTGGTAAATCATTTTAAAAACTTGGGAGAAACAAAACCAACACATTTTCTTTCATGTGAAAAATCTGCTATGCAATAAATCCACTGTAACTTAAACAGGAACAAAAACAGGTAAAGATGTAATACTATAGAAAGTATAGGAACACAAGGCAAGTTGAGAAAGTATTCAGAAAGCACATCACTATGTACAGATTTTGTCCAAAGATAATGAGTGTATAGGCTGAAATTACTAGAATTAAGTGAGTACTTTCCCCTAGACTTCTTAGCAATGGTGTCTATGGTACAAACATTAACTACACTTTTGAATATGAGTCTAATGCTAATTCAAGTCCTAAAACACTCTAGAATCCAAGGATGACCTTCTGATTGGAAATGGTTTTCACAGTAGGTTTGATCACAAATCACACTCTTAGTAGCTTAGTAGTAAGAACCAAGCTCATTCTTAGCTATCACAGGAGGAGAAAGGTCTGCTCATTATTACATAACAAGAATTCTTCCTCGCCTTTCATTACCATTTAGAGTACCTAAGAATTGTGTATGTCTATAAAATAATCTAATGCCTACACTGAGAATTGTAATCTACTAGGAATTATAGAGTAATGCCTCTAACACTCACTTATCTCATTGAGTAATTGCATTATCTTTGTCCTTTTAAAACTCTTGTTAAGGGAAATTTATCATTCAGAAAAGAGGAAAGAAAATTTGTGATTGCTCAGTATATGATTTATATGCACTAAATTTTACACAGAATAGTCTATCTATTTCTTTGATAAGAAAAATTATGTGTATTTTTAAAAAGCCAGAAGGGTTAAGCAAGTCACCTAAGTGAATACAAAGTAAAGGAACTGAGATGCAAACCCAGACTTATCTGGTTTCAGAAGCCTCTTACTCATTTTTAAATAAATCAGTAGCTCGAATATCTAATTTTTTTGAGGGATATATTCTCCTTAATTATTATTTACATTTAGAATTCACATAACATTCTAGGTTTGCCAGGAACTTTAAAATAATTTCTTTATTTCTTCTTTTGTGTTGTGATAATAAAGCCTTCCATAAAGCCTAGGAAACAAAGGCATAGAAAGATACTTCTTGATTATAATTATCAAACATAGACTACAAATGCATATTTTACTTTGGGAATTTAGGATGTTTCAAATTTTCGTTTGTGAAATGACTTTTGTAGAGTCCCTCATATTCCTAGCATTATGCAATAGTCTATGTTAACAATATATTCTCTGGCGACTATATATGTTTCCTATTTTTACGGCATTTTGGTAGAAATTCATATTGATGAAGTATGCCATACATTTTATTAAAATCATGTCAAATCACATTAAATTCCATATACAATAAATTTAGAGTTACAACCTAAATTACAGTTTTGAAGAGAACAATAAACTTAGTCTAAAATAGTAACTAACTACTTTAATTAGTACACTTGATTCTTATGATGAAACCTTGTATTTTTATTCCAGCATATGTGAGAAATTAGCTATTCTTTCTTTTTGTTTTTAGATATTTTTCACAATGTCTGTTGACTTACCTTACCTACCCAGAATAAAATATATATGCTAATGATCTCAAGATCTATGAAGTGAAATGTCACAACCCAGGCCCTGTAGAGAAATGGGCAAAGGTATCAGCAGATTTTCACTTCTCAATAAGGAAAGAATGTGACATGCAACACATGTTCTTCAATGATCATCAAGATAAAAGCATTTACTGTTCTCTAACAATCTTTGAGCAAATACTCATTCCCACATTCTTGTAGCTTTTGGCAAACAGTTACCAAAGACCTTTTATTATATAGAGAATTTATTTCAGATCAAAGCTTTACCTGAATCAGAACGAATCTATGATCAATTACATCTTTCAGAACATCCATTTTGAAGTATGGGATACTTACAGACTTTTCAAAGCTTTACTTCTTATTTCTTCATTTTTTATTTTTTTAATAACTTATTAACTTTATGTACACTGGTGTGAAGATGTCAGATCTCTTGGAA